AAAAAGTTACAACTGATAGCACCGCAGGTTTGTTTATTTTAACCTCAAAACAATTTCACGGCTACTATGATTAAGATGAGTAGATGGAAAAGACGAGTGTCTAGATTTTATGAATATCCTGGCGATGGTAGCCACCGCGTAGGTGTAATTATCTCACGTGTTCCAAATTCGGGGTCCTGCAGTTCAGATCCGTGGGCTGATTAATCGTCGGCGGGGGCAGCCGCGTACGAGTGGCGTTAAAAACGCGACAGGAGCCCCGCAACGACATTGACTGAAACGCTGCCATCACTCAAGATAATGCCCCCCATTTATCATCGCGGCCACTCAAGGGTTGATCATATTTTTGACTGATAGGCCGACCGTTTAGCCCGCTTTTTTCGTAATGGCCGCAAAAATAAACAAGGGAAACGGCCCCCGCCATTAAAATCGCGTACGATGTAAATTGCTTACACCATTATGAGTTGTGTGGGAAGGGAGGAAAAGTATTTTACCGTAAATGTGACTTGAAATATATTTTCAACGGTTACTTCTCTTTCATACAGAAAAAGAGTTTACTAAGTCAAAATTTTAAGACGTTCCTATAGAAACTAAAGCCACTAGAGTTGCAAATATAGTGCAATGTTGACGTGACCCAAAACTTCAAATTCTAAATGCACCTTACCCGATACAAACAAAGATTTATTGTCACTTCATACCACAGATAACGGAACACTATAGCGCTCCAAGCGGTTGCGTCCAGAACTATTTCTTAAATGAGGGATATTTGAAGCTTAAAGTACCTAAACATTTTATTGCAATCTAAAAGTGATCTCAATTTTTTTTGCCCCACTGAGACTATTTCCATCTTATAGGTATAGTACTGGACAAATATTACTTAGTGCGCATTAATTGCAAAGGTGAAAATAAATCGAGAACTCTGTAAACTGTTCCTTCTTTTGGTTATGGTACAAAATGCTGTTTCTCATATTTGTTGAATTTTATCATTTTTTAGAATACGAAAACGTACATATTGCTCCATGTAGCAAAAATATAGGAAGTTGTTAAAATATGCAATACCTACTTATAATTACTTACCGTAGTATTTTTTTATAATAAACATACAACAGGAAGTCGGTAATTAAAAAAAAAAATAACCTGAAAAACCTCATTACTTATAAAGATAGTCAAATACAACCCATTGTTTGAAAGATTTTTAATCGGTAAATTAACAATCAAGAACTAAGAAACTAATAGGTCAGGTATGTACACTATGTCCCAAAATGATGAAACAAAATTCATATCTTTTTTTCTAGTTCAGATTTTTAAATGTCGCTGAAACAGGTCAATTTTTAAATAGAAATTGTGACTTTTCTGCAATATTTTCTATTTTTTGAACCATGTTTGACAAACCTATAATATTGCCGACATTTTTTTTTAATAGGACTATATATTTTATAGATACCCCTTCTAAAGGCAAATTCAGCGATATAAGGTTATACCTATTTTTTGTCATAGTTGCTAAAAAAACGTAAAAAATTGTCTTTTATGTCGTACAGACGACTATTTCAAACAACTATAGTCTCTTCTATACTTTAAAAAACGTACCTACTCTTTATTAATCTTTTTCTACTTACTTTAAAGCTTATTTTTATCCCAAGGAAAACACATTAATTCACCAGAGTATCTTAGGTATAACGTGATTAATTTTAGTTCCATATTCCATATAACCGCAAAATAGATTTATTATTATTTATATATATAATACAGGAGCTAATGTTTATTTGTGTATAACAATTTATGTATGAATTATATAATATGTTAATGACAAATAAAAAATAAAATAAATCGAATTTTTCGATATCGTTATTAAGTATGCTTACTATTTTAAGGCGAAATTTCCATAAAGCAAATAAAAAACTTGGAGCATTGAAGCAAGCTTTAAAATTTGTTCTATTATAGTATGTCCTCCCAAGCACTATTTCCTCTGTGCTATTATTTTGTACATAAATTTTTAAAACATTTTATTCGAAAAAATAAGCTATCTTTGCACCCATAACAATCGCATAAATCTATAAAATAATTCTAACATCAGCAATAATCAAAAATCCAAATAAATTCATTGGCATCAAAATTCTTATGCTTTTAGTGTACCCCGGTTGACAGATTTGTATACTAATTAATTTAATTAGTAAAATTATTAATTAATTAACTCTTAAGTCCTAATTTTATCGATTCCACGTATGTAGTGTCTTTAAGCCTTAGATTCACTAAGGCTTTTCGATCTAAATAATCCAATAACCTCCTGAAATTATGACGGAAAACGAACTCTACGTTTCTCTGGTTAATATTATTACAAGCACCTATTAAATTTAATATTTGTTTTATCTTAATTCGTTTTTGCTGTGATATCCCGTGCATCATTAGCCACGATCTCGAGCCTAGAGACAACGAAAACAAATTAAATTAAGTCGTCTCAGGGTGTGTAAGACAGAAGGTGACCGGCCCTGCAGGTAAGAAAGGCCTTAATCGATTCTAAAAGCGTTCGATGGGCAATAACGATTAGCCGAACACCAAAAAACAGGCTATTAAGGCTACTATCATCCCCCATAAATACCGAATCCCCGCCAACGCGGGCCACAGGTGGCCGTCGAAGATTTGATTGATTATCGAACTGATTGATTAGCTTTAAATAACGCCTAATTACAACGACGGAGGTAATGAAATTAGAGTACCTTTAAGTAAACAGATGCTAGACTGTTAGTCGTTTGTAAAGGATCCGATAATAACATCAAAATATTCGTCTTTACTAGACGTTTCTTTTTTATATATATATATATATATACACCTACTATTTCATTAGAACATTGACTGCAATACACTGAAGAAATTGAACTTAAAATATTGTAATTTTGTATAAAACGTCGTGTACTATCGCAATAAAATTAATGCAAAAAAAGTTACACAAAAATGATTGCAATTATTTTTAGTGTTTTTACTGTCCTGTTCTAAATTTACTAGAACTTAATATTTTTTTAAATGAGCACTGTATGTTTATAAGTTTATTGCTAATATTTGTAGATTCCAAATAAAATGTAAAATTACGATATGGAATTATGATTTCTGAAAGAATTTGCAAAATATTCAGTCGCTTCTCACTACAGGGATCTCAAACACGGTAAGAGATAAGAAGTAGCTTAAATGGGGGCAATGTTGTATAATCAGGGGATCAACATTATGCTTCTAAAAAATCAAGGCTAACATGATTAGTTTTCGAAATATTTGAAAAAAACTGAATTTTTAGAAATCCGTTTTTGTTTCATATCACCTTCAATTAATATTGAAAAAAGAACATCACAACAGAAATGAAGCTGATGATGGTCCTGGAGAGACGAAACGTTACATATAAAAATTGGCAAAAAGTTGCGATGAGAAAATGATGTTCTTATTTCAATATCAACTGAAGGTGATATGAAACAAAAACGGATTTCCAAAATTTCAGTTTTTGTTTTCAAATATTTCGAAAACTAATCAGGTTAGCCTTGATTTTTTAGGGGCATAATGTGGGTCCCCTGATTAGGCAACTTTGCCTCCATTTAAGCTACTTCGTATCTCTTACTGTTTCCGAGATCCCTGTAGTGAGAAGCGAATTTGTAAGAGCCTGTATGTGAAAGTACTGAAAGTGCAAATTATTATTACATGGTGTATCAAATATTATTTTAGGAAAGTTTGATACAATTTATGCTTGTCACCATTTTAGGAACAATTGTGTGAATTTTTATGACCTTATGGCAATGTTTAGGTTGATATAGAATCAGATAATTATTTTGCTATTTTGGGTCAGTCACTTAAATCTATTTCCAAAAATTATATTTAGGTACACTCTTTATTATTATTTTTATTATTTGTGTATTGATAAGGTAATTGATGAAAGTAATAATTTTCGATCACTGTAATTATGTACTGTAGAAAAAAATAGTTACTCTATATATATATACATAGCAAGCATCAACTCATTGTACTATAAGCTTTTTGATTGCTAATAATCGAACCTCCTTCACCATGCGGAAAAGTAGGTACATACCTAAGTTTAATGTTCTTAATGTTTTTGTTTAGTGTTAGGTCTAATATCTTATAGTTTTTGCAAAAAATGTATTTCTGAAAGTACTCGAGTAAACCTCTTCAGTGAAGTTACACAAGACTATTAAACAAAAAATATAATTTATACCTGTAATGAAGTTTTTGTATACATTCTAGTACAATTGCTTTTTAAATAAAAATTATTATAGTCATCAATTTTTTTATGTAATATTTGAAATAGTCTAAGCCCAAAATTTCACCAATTACAAGTTTTTTTGTGAAGTTGCTGGTAAAATAATGAGTAAAAAAATACTCATTGTTTTATAAGTAAAATTACAAAAAAATGTTCAGTGTAGATGGATTAAACATTTATCCAAGCGTGTGGAACAGAAAAATTCTTATAGTTCTCCACTAATGGGTTATGATTGTAGATAACATTTTCCAGAACTACAAGACTACCAACAATTCGTGATCGTAGAAGAGCTCAAGGTATTTCTGAAGTCACGAAATGACAACCCGTACATGTTTGTATTTCCAAATAATTAAGGCTTTACTTCAAACTAGTCGTTTATCATATGACCGATACACTAGATATCTTGGATAAAAAATACAAAAATCAACACTGTTTCGTGCTCGATCTCCCAGATATGCTGTATTTTTTGCTTTCTCCTTTTTTAAATAAATGCGATATCAGGTTTATAAGATAAATAACATTTCACTTCAAGTAATAATTTGCTTCAGGTCAAAAATGTGCTGCAAATGTACTTAAATGTTCTTTTATTTCATTAACGATCGGAAAGTTTTACATGAAAAATATAGCAAATATAAAACGCAAATGATAAAATTACCTACGGCACAAACAAACCGTGGTTATGTTGAACATAATCTCTTAAGGAAACAATGTACTTGCACTTGTAGTTTTTCACATAAATTTGACTCCTTACCTTCCCGTCTTGGTTATGATCATCTCGGTGCCCAGCTCGTTGAACTTATCCCATAGATCCTTCGTCTCCAAGTGACACGTGACGTTCCTCAGCTCCTCGCTGGTACAGATCTCCTGCAGTAGAGGGTTCCTGTTGGGCGACCTCCTCCCGCTAGAGTGAGACTGGGAGGGTAGTCCAGTCTCTGAAGTCGAAGAGACATCGACGGGCGAATCCCGACCGCTTTCAGTGTCCGCACTCACCACAGTACAGTCCAGTCCACCGGGTTCAGGTGTGGAGGGCACAGAGGACGCCGATGTTTCGACGAACTTTTCTGGAAGAAGTGGTGGTGTTATTCAAAATACAGCTCTTTATTTACTAATGAAACATGTTTTTAATAACTATAAACAGGAAAAAAATACATGAAAAGTTATATATTGTTGTGCATTTTATTTAATTGGATATAATTTGAAAATAGTTATCAATTTATCGTTAAATAATATTTCCAAAGTGTCAAAGTAACATTCTGTATTTATTGTTGAATTACCTAGTGAATATTCGTTGTAATAAAATTAATAATTTAGATGATCATTCGACATGGAAATCCGCTGAAAATGTCGTATATTCTCCTCTATCTGTAAAGTCACGAATTCTATATGAGATTGCGCTTACTTAAAAGTATAAGATATACAGGGTGATCCAAAAAACCGCTGACAGACTTCTAGGGTAGATAACACATAAAAAATTAAGACGAAAAGTTTTAATAAACATAGGGTCGCAAATGCCTCCTTAACGAGATACAGGGCGTCTAAATTTCTGTAAAATTAAACATTATCTGCAATAATTCCAAAATGCCTGAACATTTCTATTTCAAATTTGCTATGCGTAGTTAGCACCTTAAGACCAATGTTTGATGTACTGCTCAAAATTTTATGAGCAGCAGTGTCGTAGAGACGGGGTCAACGTGACCCTTTTTTAAAAATATTTTCTACGCCACTGCTAATTTTGTCAAACGGGCACTATTTTCGTGTAAAGTGTTCAATTGTCTATCGAATTGGTCTCTTGCAAAATTTGGATTAAAGCAACCATTTTTAAGAGAAACACCTTTGTAGAAAATTTGTAAATCCAATTTTATTTTCATTCATTTTAGTTTCGCATAGTAGGCTTGTGCTATTCAAAATAAAATTAAACATCGCCTGTCACTAATGTCAATGTGTACAAGTGAGTTAAGTAAACTAGATTATAAGCTTCTTTTTGTCATTTTTACGCTTTAATTTTACAGAAACTTTGACGCCCTGTATCTCGTTAAGGAGGCATTTGCGACCCTATGTTTATTAAGACTTTTCGTCTTAATTTTTCATGTATTACTTACCCTAGAAGTCTGTCAGCGGTTTTTTGAATCACCCTGTATATAATAGATTTAAATAAATTTTAAATACAATTTTTGGATATGTATAATCATATTTTTTATACTTATAAGTTTATAAGCAACATAACTGTAATACAATGTATACATTTTTCATAAGCAGTAGATAGTACATTTAGCAAAGTGACTGGTCTTCAAAAATTTTTTTTCGTTAACATAATCTTCAGATTCGGGATTTATATTATGCACCCCACCTTCAGGTCACTTTTAGGTAGTTCAATATTTTAAGAAAATTAAAAAAATACTAATATTGTTTCGCTAATGCAGTTAATGTAATTAGAAAATGATTTAATGATGATGATAATGCCAATTTGATTACCGAAACGCGGATCAAGTGCAGTGAAACGTTTTGATATAGACGAATAAAGCGCAAGATGGATCGCTCCCTAAAAAAATAGTCTCTAAAAACGCCAAATTCCGAGTACATATGTCATTTACCTTTTATTAAGAAACTGTTTGTGAAAATAAACAATATGAAATCAGTTATACAGTGGATAACATTGATTTATTATCAAAGCTCCCATCTTTACGGAGCATTTCAAACAAGACTGCTATAAATCTGTCACGTCGCGGTTCCTCACTGTTTTTTCAGCTTCTTTTCAATTCCGGGCCCATTAATTTTTACCAGTCGACTTCTTAAATGCTCTTCGTGTTTATTAGGCACCACTAAACTCAAAGTGAAATTAATTTTTACATTAATAAAGACGGTCGCCCCGGATAATACGTCGCCTGTCCGTAAATTACATAAACATATGCCTTTATTAAATAAAGGCATTAACGTTTTTAACGATTATTATTATTAAAGGCCGCTATAAATGTCGGAAGTGGCGCAGTTTTCTATAATGTAACCCTTTCACGTTAAATTGCCCCGGCGATCGTAAATTTTGGCTTTGGCTCGGGTAAAAAGCGGCTTACGGTTTTCCTCGGGTCGACAGCATATGCCAGAAGAATTAATACGCGTTTACGTTTGATATCTCGTAAAATACTGGCTCTTGTCACGGAAGCGCGAGGGGTCGTGAGTTTTGTGACGCGCTGTACCACCATACCGGACGGACATTATCTCCCCAAAAAAAATGTCTTAGCATGTATAACGTTTGAAAATATTTACAGATATTTCAAATGTTGCCGAAACTATCACCTAGTTAAGGGGGCGTTTTAGTATGTATATTTTTACCGTGTAACAGAGCTTCAGATGAGGACACAAATCATCGAAGAAACTAACATAATTGAATATTATTATACAGGGTGTATCTAAATAACACCGAAAAAATTCAAGGGGCGATTCTCCGATGAAAATTAATAGGGGTCTTTGGTATAAAATTTTTGGAAAAACCCTCCCCTGAAAAGTTACGCCCCTCCTAAAATTACAAAAAAAAATTGTTTTTCTTTTTTATCTTCCACGTACATCAAGCTAAAGAAACCAAACTTGGTGAACATTATCTGTCAATAAAACTACACTTTTTGAAATTTTTTCAACCCTGAGTCAACCCCTATGACATTTTTTCTTATAATTTTTTTTTCGATAAAATTTTTTCCTTTTAAAAAATATGTCTAAAAAACCCCATTCATTTACTAACTTTTTGATCTCTTCAAGTTTCTTCGAAAAGTTAAG